CAATGGTGCTGTGATGATGACGAATTTTACTACATAAGAGTGTTATTTCCGGCCATCTAGAGGTAATATTTCCTCAAATGTTCCCACCTCAGCCCCAACCATGGTGGGGCTAAGGTGGTCTCACGAAGTGTCCCCCTCCCACCTTTCAAAACAGATCTGCGCCCTTGTACCCACGGCGTGGTAAGATATGAAGTACCTTGCCAAAATACATGCATGTACGCAATCAAGGGTTCGTACAAAACGGCAGGGCTGCGGCTTGAAAATAATTTATAAAACGCTAACCTGGTGCTTCTTCTTTATTGTTGGAACTTGCTGATTCTGTGATGAATAAAATTGGTAAAAACAACATTACGTGTCTTACACCAACAAATCACTTAATCCAATTAAATCAGCTAATATTTTGTTTATGTTCAATGGTTTTTGCTGATTTAATAACGTACCTGTTGGATCTTTAAACTTCCTCTGTAGTTTACTTGTATTTACCAAGTTTTCTCCGCATCGGATAAAATCGTTCTTCAAGCAGTCTTCCAGTTTGTGGAAGTGCATGTCTTGAAAGCCTGCCCAGCACATGACGCATAACGTATAACCGGCATGCTTCATTCCAGATGTCAACACTATCAGCTCTTTCTTCAAAAACTCTAAAACCTTAATGAGAATTGCGGCAACTTTTAAAAATATAGTTGAAACCTCTGGTCGAAGTTCAAAATGATTTATTTTGACTTGATTGTCGTTTAAATTTCATTATTTAACTATACGTTAAAAAAATTAGAACACCATATATTGGTTAATAAAAACAAAACATATTGCATATGTGGTGTATCTTGGATAAATCGACATGACTATTATATAAGGCAAATACAGCATTCATTAAAATGTTAAATTGTCAAACTTGCAAAGCGATATCTAACGGCGAAATGTCATTACCTGCATACAAACATTAGGACTAAGTTCACCTGTTGGCATTTCTCTACCATCCTCCTTTAATTCAGCCACACGTGATATTTTCAGCTAATAACACAATTAATATAATAAAAATAATTAAAATTTCAGGAAATCAATCAATCGTTTATTCTGTGGTGGCGCCGGGATTTTCCCGACGGGGGTTCCAAAGTCCCCGACAGGGGGCCGATTTCCTTAACGAAAAAAAGTGGGCGTGGTCGGGCGTCGCTCAGAATCTCTCTGAAAGTAATCCAGGGGCAAAGAACCAAGAAAAAAAAATTACAATTTAGGGGTTTTAATGGCTTATCTTTGGGTCAACTAATATGTAGAAAACATATACATTTTTTTTCTCCCCGGTCAATTGTGGTTTTCTTCCCGACGGGGGGGGGGGGAGCACTCTCCGACGGGCGGGCCCTGTCCCCCACCCCCCGCTGGCATCATCCCTGGTTTAGATAGATGTTACACCATACATATACTATATGACTGACTTGATGATATCGACATCTTACCTTCAAAGAGGGCTTGTTATCGATAACTATTGTGATCATGTCCTAGTCCAATTATTGCCTTGTTGCTGAATAACTTTGGTATGGCCATGTAGCCCATGTTTTGTACCTTTCTAAGCAAGCTAACGACTAGAGGGTGAAAGATACTATCGGGGAGAAAATCATCGGAGGCTACATAGATAGAAACCATCTGATCAGTGTCCCGTCTTATATCCATAGCCTCG